AAGAGAATTGCAAAGCGGAGCTGGAGTGCAGCCGCCCAATAGCGGACTGAAAACTACTAGTAGTAGGATGAAAAGAGCACAGACGAAGCCAATACAGACAAAACCAGAGGCAAATGGTATCAAATGCGAATGCCCGCCTCAGCAACCGCCAAGGTGGGAGGTGAGTCCAACTGCACCGGCCGAAGATTCCGGGATCCGCGCAAACACATCACGCTGGACCGGAGTAGGGCAAAACTCAATTTGCATCGAACCCAAGACATAACACAGCTGTATGCTTCTCCAGTCTTCGCGGCTTGAAGAGAAGCTATCCGCTTGTAGAGCGACTCCGCGTGTTTGCCCAAACCACCAGTGGTAGAGAATATGGCCGGAACAAACGACGAATGCTCTATGTCGCGGACACGTTGCTCGTAGCAGCGCCGCTTCTCCTTCTCGTGCTTGGTGTAGCAGGAAGCAATGGAGGTGGCGCGGTTTGAGGTCGCATGAGGATTGAAAACCCTCACATCGATGAAGGTGCGCTCAAACCGGCCACCCCAGATGCCACTTGCCGCAACGTCGAGACGGGCCTGCTCAGTCTGGATAGCGGTGCGATACCGGAACTGCTCCCCAGTGACCGGCTGCAGGTGGGGCTCCACGGAGACATTGTGAGCCACTCGTTTCAGCATATGGGCAGTGAGGTCACGCACCTCATTGTGCCGCACCGACGGAAACCCCCCTGTGGAGCAAGACAAAGCGTGAGCGACTGAAAATGTGGCTCCACAGCTGCAAGATGATGGCAGTCGCTGTGGAAGCCAGCCGTAGCGCAAGTGGATTCCGTCGCGGAACTCACCCTTGGTGAGGGTCATGCCATGCCGCTTCAAGGGTCGACAGGTCAGCCAGGAAGAAGCTCCCTTCTCCGACGCTAGCGCAATGACCCGCTGCAACTCAGTATCCACAGATGAGGAAAGAAGCACAGCATCAGCCCGAACCGAGGCGTCAACTGTGTTCTTCGCTTGCTTCTTGGCAGCGCGTACATCGTCAATGGCGGTGCCTAATTCCATATCTTGGACCAAGATACGGCTTGTCAGGGGCGCGGTGATGTCTCGAGAAGACTGATGTTGGGAGGCTCGCGACGATGGGTGGGGCAGCCCGAGACCGCCGAAGCGACACGGAAGAGCAAGGAGGCTGCGCTCCTGGGATCCGGGTCGCGACCCGATGCCACTGAGTTTCCGCTCAGCAAGGCATGCACACTGCTCCGATATGAGCATGTGGCGTTGCTTACGAGGCCATGGTTGTGACAAGAATGTCAGAGAGAAGTAAAATGAAACGTTCACAAAACGGAGCGAAGAAAAAGGCCAAAGAGATTCTGGGAAGGGTTGGTTTTGGCGGGAAACGAGGTGGAATGTGTTTGTCTTTAAAACGCTATGAATTATATGAAAACGGAGCGATTTTGGGCCTAACACACTGTCACATTCGAAGGCCGAGCCTCCGAAAAATATCATGTGTGCACAAAAGGACGTTTTTTTTTTTTTTATTTACTTGAAAAAGCACATAACCACCAGGAAAGCTGACAAAGAAAAAGAGTAAGAAAAGACAGATAAAAAGAGAGCTGAGAGAGAGAGAGAGTTGGGGTACGGTTAGGGGAGGACGAGACATTGAATGGTGGTCGCCACAGTCACAGATAGTAGCAGTGCTGGTGAGGCTACAGGCACTCCACTGACCATTAGGTCTCAGTATCGCCATGCCGGTAACGTCCGTCCGATCACAGTCAGTGCAGTCACTGACTCACTGAGTCAAGGAGCACAGACTGTCAGTCAGTGCACTGCATGCGCGTGCGGTAGATCGATGCTGTACGGATAGTAGTCTGTACCGGTGTTCACGTCCGTGATTTACAAACGGACACTGTCTGTAGACAACATTGGGTGGTTGTTTCCTTTTTGATCTTTCGAAACGATCCAAACTTACCTCCATTGGCGCTGTCATTCACTGCTGCTCAGGACGGGTGTGGTGTGGTCAGTATTCCTTGGACAAGTTTTTTGCAGAAGAGAAAGGATGTTTCGAGTACTGACACTCTTCAACGAACTTCGAACCGTACACGTAGAGTTCAAGCTCCTCAGAAGATGAGGGCTCCGACATCCAAGCAAAGTCAGTAATCTCTACCTGCTGCAGCATGCAGTAGTGACTAGTTGTTCCTCCGCAGGAACGGAGTGCTGCGCCAGCGATGTGTTTTAGATGACATTGGCAGGATTATACCCCGTCGATACTGTTTCGCTGTTGTTGTTTCTGTCACTGAAGTGAAGACGATGCTCTTGTCCTGTGACTATAGAGCATTTCGCATCGTAAAAATGCCAAAATTTTCCGAAAGTACAAATGGACAAGGAAAGTAACTTAGTTGTCATTTCGGCATTCCTGGCTCTCAACGTACCCATGACTTGCATATTCAATCTTTACAAGAAGTTGAAAGGGTCTTCAAGCCCTCACTGAACCTATGTGTCAGTCGATTGCATACATGTATACTATGATTATGTGTCCGTACTAAAAAATAATATACAATGTAGGGTAAGCAGCAGCATTTGGCCCTGTATACAGGTTTTCAATCGCCCACCACACCACAACTGCGCTCCGACTCAGTCTCCAGCGATGGTGGTGTGCTGTGGGCGAATGTGTCGAGGACGGCTGGAGAGCGGTGTGGTCGATGATGGAAAAATGTGATAAATAATTATTATGTCCGTAGTCAGTTTCCTCTGAGACAAAAATGCGATAATACTCATAAAAAGGACACACTTCAGGCTCATTACAAACATCTTGAAAGTTTTCGTCTTCACAAGTATACTTTCAAGCCTTCTCATCAGGTGAAATACAAGCAAGGGAAAAGGAACAGGAACAGTGGATTAAATACAGTAAGAAGGTGGTAAAACAGCGCAAAAAGAAAGAAAGAAAGAAAGAAAGAAAGAAGATAGCTAAAGTAAACAGCGAAAATTGCAATAATGACACAAAGGTGCAAATGCGAGAAAACTCAATAAGCGCGACATGTAGTGCGACAACAAGAGACAACCACTGGACATACATGTAACTAACGAGGTTTTGACGACCTACCTAACAGCCTAAGTGTGAATTTGATTTGTTTCTGCTTGCAAAGGTTGGGTTTCCTTGTGTGGATGTATACAGCTTCCAAAACATTCAGCAATCTAGCACTGCGTACACGTGACACAATCGAAAAACAATCATCCGAATACACAGCACGACAATCAGGATGCTCAAACAAATGACTAGCAATGGACGACTCATACTTATCAGAACTAACATCAGAACAATCAGCATGTGCGGTGGACACATCCGATTTCACATGGCTAGTCGAGTGGACCCTAGCCGTTGCCTCTGTCTGTGCTTTAGTCGCTGCCATCGCCGCCGTTGCCGATCTTGTTATTCTTCTGGTTGATGCGGTTCCTGTCACTGCCACGCACGTAGGTGTCTTGTCCGGTTGTTTTTCTGGTGGTCTAGTTAATTGTGAGGTGACGTTCCTTGGTGTTGATGCCGCTGCGTTGGACCATCTTGTACCAGGATGATTCTTTGCTGGACGTCCCCTCCGTGGTCGAGTGGATCGTGCGTGTTGTGGAATAAGGTGTAGCGGTGCGTGTTGTCGGATGCGTGCGTCCAGATGTTGAAGAGTCCTACCTACATATCGGCTCTCACATTGCCGACACTCGAAGTGATAAATCAACATCATCAATATGTCCGTAGTGTGTTATAGCTATCCTCTTTAGCGCGAGCGTCGTACTAGTACGACGCACATGAGTTGCATGCCCCACGGCCGTCGTACTAGTAGTACGACGCGCACTGTACACTGTACAGTGAACCTGCATCTCATAGTCGTGGGGTCCGTGTTGAGTCCATAGTGACTTGTTCAAACTATCGCAACTCACTCAATACTTGGTCGATTCTCACAATCGAAACATGTATCTGCAAGAGAAAACTCTCAGCTGGCGATAGAAACAATCGCCGAAGCGATGCGACTACCGGTTGTTGAGATATGCGACTCGACACGGCAAATTTCAACTCGATTTTTTTGCGCAGTCTGCAGAACGCGTATTTTCCATCATGGATCCTTTTTGCGCTACCTGCTGCCATGGAAACAAGATTCAAATGATGGTAGTGGATCCCGTGAGTCCTCACAAAATATTTGAGCTCGATACGAGCAAGGAGACCGAAATGGCAGCTGAATATTTGAGCTTGATTAGTTTTGGCCGTGCTCAAGTCTGTCGAGCGCGTGGATGAAGTTTGCCAGACTGTAGCACGGGGTTTTGGTTTCGCTCCGAGCTGGGTTTGATACTAGTTTGTCCCTCGTCTCACGACCTTTCCAGGAAGCTCAAGATCGTGGAATTCGTCCAAGGGAAGGTAAAGTTATCGATCCTTGAGCAGCTAGTACTTTCATGGGAAAATGCGACTTTTACAGGTGTTGACGTGGGGCGCGCTCAGGTAGCGTCGTGCTAAAGAGGTAACTTAAAAGCATGCGATTCCCACTAACACAATCGGATTGTCGTAATTTTACAAGTGTCAACCGCACAACTTCAAAACAATCTGATTCTATAATATTTTGGCTGTTCAATTTTGGCTCAACCGGAACCCCCCTGTAGAGATCTCTGGATGCGCCCCTGCATTAATTTTGACGACTCCTCTGCTCTGCTGTGATGCCATGACGTCGGGTAGGCCCGGGCCAGCTAGCTCAGCTGCCAGGTCTTCCTGCCCTCACCCTGGTCCCCGAATATGTACATGCATGTAAAAATAGCATCACTACTCCCTTGTACGTGTACTTTGGAATAAAGAAGCCTTGCTTGGTAAAATAATATTAATAATGAGTGTTTCAAAGAGTACAGAACCCCCATGGGTTATGCACTCTTGATGTTTCCCATATCTCTTCAGTCCAGGCAGGTCTAGGCCATGGGAAACAAGTTGTCATTATCACTACGCACGTACTGGCCACCGCAACAAAATCAATGAACTCACGACTCACAGAGCACCAGTAATCCAGTAATGGCTGTGTAACGAATGGCACTACATGTATAATCAATGAAAAACAAAACACACGCTGCAACCTAACAAGTCCTTAGGTGCAGCAGCATGTACAAGCTTGTAACAAAGTCTCGAAAAGCAGGCACACTGGCTACCGGAGACCCGGTGGAAATCGAGTGAACTATGTATCTAGTGGCAGCAGCATAAGCAATGAATAACGACTAGTAAGTTAGTTCAGCAAGCATGCCAGCTGGTCTGAGAACAGTCCGCGAGCAGCTCGAGACCGACTATATACAATGCCCACGGCTTGTGAACGCAACAACAGCAAACGACTAACGACTAGTAAGAAAGCGTCAACGAGGGAGCAAGGAGACAGACACAATAATGTACAAGGGACGTTTAGTAAAATAATGAAGGGGGGGGGGGGTCAAACGATAAAATAACGCATGTCATAAAAGCAAGCCGAATCAGAAAGCCTAGGGAAGCAGTGAAGTTAGATGTCATGTGTTTCATACCGGCTTTCGTTCTGTACATAAGTATTATACATAGCATCTTTGTGATGCGAATATCGTGGCACAAACTGGGCATGCGGTGCTGCAAGTGCAGCTGGCCAGGAGCAACACGCGTGGACATCGCCACATTGTTTCGTTTCATGGATTGCGTATCAAGAAAAGTATTGGCATGCCATGCATGCACACCTGTCAAACAGCGAGTATTCAAAATCTAAAGCTGCTTACTACGAAGTAGGTGTAAAGCTAGTCAATAATCTGAGAATTGGGAAAGGGCAAATATATGGCAAAGATAGAAAAGAATGGGAAAGAAAGGGAGTTAAACATGCTGAGTGACTGTACAATTCAAGTCTATCCACCAAATCAGTGCAGATAAAAATACGAGATTTGCTTGTGGACACCGTCAACGCCATCATAAAACGCCCCCAGGCCAGGGTACATGGTTGCTACAGGAGGCAAGCCAGCACCAGTACAACGTGACAAACCGTGACACTCACAGAAGCTGCGGCGGGTGCACGTGTGGCGTGCTCTGAGCCAACGCTACGCCAACCATAACAAACCCAAGCTGCATAGCGATGGGCTGTGTGGCTCTCGACGCAACCTACAAGGCATGCAGTGCTCCCCCAAGCCAGTTCAGCACACGGGCAAGTGGAACGCGTTCTCATGACGTACCCCTCAGTTACCACCATACGGGATAGGACGGGGCAAGGATGCAATGTACACGGGCATCAGAGGGCTGGAACATTAAGCTGGTCACCGAAAGTTAACCAGCACGGTCATGTAACAACCGGGCCATCATGACTCGTACTGTCGAAGTTGTTTTTTCCATTCCTCTTGCTCCTCCAGCAGTTGTTCCTAATCACAGAAACAGGAAAGTCACAAAAATCATCCCCAAAGGAACAAGCAAGTACAGCGAGTGCTTCAGTGAAACAACACAGTACACTCAGTAAGAGTATTAAAGCGACCAGTAGGCACAGCAGTCAACACAGGCCATATACATTGTACAGTACAGGAACTCAGTCAGTAAGTTCCACTTGTAAATGACTAGCCGCCCAAGCTATAGAGGTTATGCGAAAGGATCACGTGCAGGCGGCGTGTAGGCGGCCAAAGCGGCCGCGCTCCGCAGGGGTGGCAAAAGAGATGAAAAGTTCAAAAGAAGTACATGTGCCTGGAATAATTTCACGAAGGAAATTTCCTGTATCGCTGTTACGTTCCTCTTCTGTTCTTTACAAAGGACTATTGTACGAACGCTGAATCAGTGGCCATGACTTCTCCCAAGTTTTCAAAAGTGTATGACGAGTTAGATGACTCCAGCAAATGCCGGTACCGTGAAAAGCTCGAGCGCGTTGCACCAGACTCGAGTGATCCTTACCTGCCCAGAAGTATTTTTTTAGAGGAAGATAAATTTCCACTTGTGGACTATCCCGATATTTACAATTTCTTGGTCAACGCGCCCAGCCCCTACACCAAGGAGCAGCTCAAGGCCTACAAGAGCTTGGAAGGCTACAAATACCTTGTCAGTGGCTGGGTCGGCGATGTTCGTGCGTTTCCAGCGTCCGAATCTGACACATGTGACAGCAAGTTTGTCATCGCCAAAGTCCGCCATTCCCAGTCAGTTTCCGGCACCCATCTGCAACCCTGGATTGCTGCGCAAAACGACGGTAGCGTGATTTGTGTACACTGCACCTGCATGGCTGGTCTTGGTGAGTCTTGTTCTCACGTTGCTGCACTGTTGTTCAGCCTGTATTCTAGAACGCAGCTGATTCAGAACACAGGAAGCACTTCATTGCCGTGCCAATGGTCAACTCCTTCAATGAAGGAGGTGGAGTATGCCAGGATTCGTGACATAAACTTCACTGCACCCGACACTAAACAGCATGGGAGCAAGCGCCGTAGGTCGGAGGAGAAGGTCCCTGCTGATATTAAGCAACCCTCCAGTGCTGAGCTGGGTGAACTATATGGAAATTTATGTCAAGCCGGTAAACCGTCATTACTCTCCCTTGTTCCCGGGTTCTGCGATAGGTACGTACCTTCCAAGCCCGAGGGATATCCACCCATTTTGGATTTATTGTACGAACCAGACATGCTGGATGCTAGTTTTGGGGACCTGCTCGTTCGTTGCGAGGCAGTATTTCCAGCGGTCTGTGTTTCAGAGGAGGAAGCACGCGCTGTGGAACAGGCTACGCGGAACCAGGCAGATTCCAAGGCCTGGTTTGAATTTCGCGCCGGCCGGATCACAGCTTCAAAGTTGAAGTCTGCTGTTTGCACGGATATTAGCCAGCCCTCTGCGTCCTTAGTCCGCTCTGTGTGTTACCCTGAGGCACACAAGTTCCGTAGCAAAGCCACACAATGGGGATGTGATCACGAGCAGAAGGCAATTGACAACTATAGTGAACATGCCAGTGCAACACATCAGAAGGTTGAAGTACTCCCCAGTGGCTTTGTAATTCATCCGGACTATCCATATCTTGGCGCTACTCCCGACTCCCTTGTGCAGTGCTCCTGCTGTGGCAACGGCGTGGTGGAAGTGAAGTGCCCGTACGGGTGCCGAGACAGTAGCCTGCATGATGCTGCCGATTCAGGGAAGTTCTGTCTAGTAAAGTCCGGCGGAGCACTCCATCTTAAGCAAGACCACATGTACTACTACCAAGTACAGCTACAGATGCTGGTGTGTAAGGTGCAGTACTGTGACTTTGTTGTGTGGAATGAAGGTCAGCTGTTTGTGGAGCGTATCTGTGCAGACACAGATTTCATCCGTGAAGCGGTAGCAGGTGCCAAGAAATTCTTCCAGTGTGCTGTTCTCCCAGAGCTTGTTGGGAAATGGTTCACTAAGACGTTCTCCACTCTTCCTGCCGATGCGTCTTCAGCGGCTACATCAGCCTCGGAACCACTTGGTGCTGCCAGTACAACATCTACTGCGGATCAAGAACGCCCTCCGGAGTTTTGCTACTGCAAGTCTGTGAAGGCTGGCGAGGTACTGCGATGTTCCAACAACGATTGCAGTATTCGTTTGTTCCACATGGCTTGTTTGCAGCTGAAGAGTAAGCCAAAGCGCAAGAACTGGACCTGCCCGGAGTGTCGCAAGATTAAATCTGCCACTAAATAATGATATGCATGTACAATTACAGTGGTAGCGACTTCAGCGACAAGTTTATAGGAATGTTGGTCGCTAAGCACAACGTTCGTCAGCCTACTCAAGCTCAACTGCATGAGGGGTGAATTCCCCGAAACACTGTGTATTGAGCAGGGAGTGGTGCTTTCTTGCAGGTTTGCCGGAAGGAGGGCTCGAGGGACTTCTTCTCTGCTCTAGATGGCAGTTGTGAGTCAGTCAAGTGTCTGGATGGAAGTCGTGAGTTTGTCAAGTTTCTGAATGGCAGTCGTGAGTCAGTCAAATGTCCAGTCAAGGCGGCAGAAAAGCTCGACCTCTAGTATGGGGTGCAACCAACTTTCCATGTACATAGTCATTTTTGTCGTAGCATTTGTAAATCCAAGTCTCAAGCATTTGAGAAGTGATTATATTCATGGAGCCTGCTATTCTGGTATTTCTAGAGTTGCATTTTCAACTTTTTCTGCTGTGCCTTCCACGGTACTTGCTGTTGCACTTGCCACGTGTGTGCATACAATCGGTGGCTGGGCTTTCACAACGATTTCCGTTACCTTTCTTGTATTTATTTGCTTGCATGTATCTCTGAAGGACCATAATGCTGATTCGTATTTGTGGGTCCCAGGACATGCGTGAAGACCACTCACTGCTTATGCATGTGAGCAGAGGAACTCCATCATTACACATCAAACACTTCGCTCTTTACGTCTCTTCCGGGTGATGTTGGCATAAGTTGAGTTGTTCTTTGGTGCTGGGCATACTACATCTGATGGTACATCGCGCACTACCCAGCACCCTAAGTTGGGTTTCAGGGCTATTCATAATTATTATATTGTGTTGTCCCTATTTGGACCACGAGTCATTATATTGATGCAACAAGAAACGGAGGCATGTCGTGAGTGATGATAGAAGCCATTATTATTACTATTATTATAAGTCTGTTGGCGTTGCCATGACCAAGCAAGCTTGGCTAGCCAGACAAAAGAAACTAGAAACAAGCGAGGTCAATGAGGTGAACACATGCGCATGCAACTGCAGAATAGGTAAAACAGAAATATAATTGCCGGTATATCCAGACAGTCCAAAAAGCACAAGGGGTTAATAATAAATTTGAATAATAATATAATAATAATAATAATGTAGCAATCATTACAGCTGACAAAGCGGCATGATGTAATTTACTCGAAAGGTACCACGGACTCACAACAGTTGCACAGAGCACAGCAGACGGTGACAACCTTGTCAATGAATGCACATGATGTAGCTTTATCGTCATGCATGAGGAAAGCAATGGGCAAAGTGCCAGAGAGGATCGTGTATTTCTGGCGAAGCATTCCAATCACTCGCTCCACATGGATACGGACGCGTGACACTTGTCGAGCACTGTCCAATTTCAGCCTGGAGAGTTGCTTCTTCCCCTTCGTAAATGGGGGCATCACCAACTCTGCGCAGAACATGCCAACGCTGTCTTCAACAGTGAAACCACGGTCAGCCAGCACCTGGTCACCCGGATTTAGGTGACTAAGCAGACCGCAGTGCTCTGTGATGAACTTGTCTGAGGCTCTCCCGCCCCATGCATGCGAAATAAATGTAATGACACCTTGTGGCGCTACGCCAATCAAAAACTTTGCAGTGTTATGGCTTTTATAGTGAGAGTACGTTTGAGCTCTTGCCATCAGATCAGAAGGTCGTTCACAAAAAACTTCAAAGCAGTCAATAATGACAGCACAGCCCGGGAAATGCTTACGAAATTCAAGTGGCAGAGTTTTGCGTAGTTCGTCCCTTTCCGGCCATTTGACAAGTGGTCCCAGCATCACATGCATCACCCGGATCCAGCGCTGGAAAATCCGGCACACGGTCGACTGGTGAATGCCGAATCTGTACGCCAAGTCTTGGTCCCGACAATTCAGCCGAAGCTTCATGAGAACAATCAAGAACTGCTGGAAGAGAGAGAGCGTGTGGCGGTGGTGCTGTGGAACTCTCTTCCTCACGTGTTCAAATATGCCCATCATGGTCCCAAAAGACTGCAAACCAGTGTAGAAGAGCACCTTCGCGTTGTCTTTCTCAAACGACTCGATTGACAAGGTGTCACCTTGTCCTGGAGCGTGTGGCATCCGTTTGCTTTCCAGGACCAAACAGTTGTTTGTCTCCTCCAGCCGCGTCAAGTGCTCCATATCCATGTCAGTCTGCGATGAGACACTGGAGACTGCTACAGGATCAGACTCTACCTCTGCACCATAGGCACCAGGCAAATCTGCCATTGCCTCTGTGAAGTCATTCCCGGAGGCGTCCACTTTCACTGGTGTCTGCGTCTTGCTCTCCTCGAACGTCAGCTTCCGCTTCGCTCGGCGTTCATATGCCACCAAATCCCTCTCCGCTTTACGCTTTACAGGAGTCCTGACATGTTCAAAAAGTTTCGGAACGTAAGCGGGAGATAGTGGATCGTTGCTCTTCTCTGCGCCTACGAAATGGTCTGAACAGATCCTGCTACTGTCAGTTGGCTTCCAATTCTCTCGTCTCATAGCCGCAACCCATAGTTTGCGCCGCTCGTCCGCTACGGGAAACTTGTAAAACTTCACAGCCGTTCCAGGATCGGCACGATTGCTACATCCGACGGCTGCACAACTCTTCGGCATGTTGAAGGCTAAAAACTTCAGCAAGCGAGACACCAGCGGAAATTAAAATAAAAGTGAGGAACGATATGTCGACAACCAACAACAAATTTTACTTTTCCTCTCAAAGACTAGTAAAAAATAGTTCAAGCAGAAACGACTTCATTTTGCCACCCCTGCCACTCGCAGCCGCCTTGGCGCTCCTCGTGACGTCATTCGCATAACCTCTATAAGGTTGCAAGCACACATTATACATACCTTCTGCTCCAGGAGTTCCTTGAAGCGCCGCAGCCGCATCTGACCCTGCTCGGCATCACGCTTGTCTTGAAGCAAGTATAAGTCCAATTCACGGCTGATGACACAGAGCCAGAATACAAGGCAGAAGGAACCAATGTGAGTGGAAACACAGGAGCAAAGCAAAGGAATATTATACATGTACAAGTATACCGGACATTGAAATTGTCAAAATGCACATACTGCAAAACCGGAAAGTCTAACGTTGTACGGCCAATTATTTTTTCGTTATTTGAAAATTCGTTATAGCTAGATGTCTGTGTAAAGATGCGCATACAGATGGGTGGCCAGCTAGCCATCATTAAACTTTCTGCACGTAATCATGCCAAAATTACAAATACGTTTAACTTTTTGGTCGTTAGACTTTCCGGTTTTACAGTAGTCATAAGCACAGATCTTTTAAAACGTTGGCACCAGATCACATTCGGCAAGGCATAAGTACTGCAGTTGGAAACATTACTCAAAACAGCGATGCAACAAGATAGGTAGTGTCTTCCATTTCAATCAAGCATACCTCTCTTCTTGAGCTACTCGAAACTGCCGCCTCAAATCCATGTAGCTGTTGGCAAGCTAATGGCAAAAGAGAACACACAACTAGCAGCACTGAAGCATGGAATACCACACTCACACACACACACGCCAATACTTCGAAACGGGCTGAAGAAAGGCGTGTGACTGGTGCAAGCAACTTCCAGCTCACCATGCAACTTTACTGTTCATGCCGAAAGTAATCCAGAAAGAGTTGAATCCACATGTAGAATGTGGGTTCCCTTTGTGCAACAATGAAAAATAATGAACAATGAAGAGTTTCGGAGCAGACTTACCCCCATATGTTCCTCATAGATATCTACAGAAGTTTGTGACTCTGGTGTTGGTGGCAATGGTTGCAGCTGAACATCCAAATCCGGGTGCTGCACTGCATTTGAACAGCCGTCATTGCTAGCAAACGGGGATGCTACTGAGGCAGGAAGAGAGAAGCAAGCACAAGCCACGCGGGCGCATACACGCACCCGCACAAAGCACACAAAGCACATGCATAAATGAACAGGTGTATGTGTGTATGTGTGTATGTGTGTGGGGGGGGGGGGGATTGGGGTGAAACGACTGACCCAAATTCCTTATCGACTGACTATCGACTGGTTATCAACTGACATTGCCCTCACACATGAACACAACTTCCAGACAAGGAAAGCATATTTACGCATACATACATGCACATGCGCAAGCATAGTCAACACCCCTGCACAAGCAAACAGACGCACAATATGAGCACATTGTAGGTTTCAACGTTCAAATGGACAATGTGTTTCGTACCGTTCTTGTGCTCAGCTGTGTGTTAACCTGAACTCGCAGGACAAGTGTATGGACTACAATACATTGTATAGATACCCAGAAGTACATTGTACTTCTGGGTATCTATACAATGTATTTTTTAACATAGGTGCAGGTTGATAAGGGTTTTCCTTCTATCGACTCAACATTATCGACTGGCCAGTCGACTTATCGACTCAGTCGTTTCACCCCATAGTGCAGGAAGTACTTCCGGACTCGCAGTGCGGCTTCCGTTGTGGTCGAGGTTGCAATGACATGATAGTCGTGGCCCGTCAGCTAATCGAGAAGACCATTGAGCATGATGATGGGCTACGTGTACTGTTCGTAGATCTCCGTAAAGCCTATGACTCGATCCCCATGCTTGCTCTTTGGTCAGTCCTTGAGAAGCTAGGTGTACCTCCACAGATGCTTCGGGTTATTCAATCTCTCCATGATGGTATGTCGGCAGCAGTGCGAGTTTCACTTTCAGGAACAACAACTGATCGCTTCTTCGTACACAACGGACTCCGTCAAGGATGTACGCTTGCACCGGTGTTATTTAACCTTTACTTTTCTGCTGTCGCGCACGAGTGGCGTTCTGGTTGTGTCTCTGCTGGGATACCAGTGGCATATCATCTTGGTCGGAAGGTCGTCGATGACCGCACAACTAAAGCTGTGTTCACAACTGGCGCGTGGACGCGGTACGCTTGCGGTTCATGCGCCCCCAAACGCGCGCTCAGCCTTTCACAAAAAACAGCAATCCGAGTCATCTTTAGCGCGTGCGACACCTTCGAGTACTAATTTTTTGACCCCGCCAGTCAAAGTGACTGGCATGTACGCTGATACGCGCCTGATACGCGCTGAAAATTCCAACATGTTGGAAGTTCCATTTCGGCGCGTTTCACCGTGAGGAGGATGCGGATGCCATATTGCTCGCCGACGCTTCGAACGCCTTCAACCGGCTTAACCGTGAAGCCTGCCTACGGAACATCCGTCACCTCTGTCCCTCTATAGCGCCAGCTGTAATCAACACCTACCGCCAACCATCCCGCCTATTCGTTGATGGAGAGTGCTTGCTATCGTGCGAGGGTACCACTCAGGGTGACCCTCTGGCCATGCCCGTATATGCGCTTGGAGTCCTCCCGCTCATCAAGAAAGTTGCAGTGCCTGGTGCGAAACAGGGCTGGTATGCGGACGATGCTGCAGCCGGTGGCAAGCTAACGCCTGTTCGCCAATGGTGGGACAATCTCGTCAGCCACGGTCCTGGGTATGGCTACCACTGCAATGCCCAGAAGTCACTCCTCCTGGTCAAGCCCTCCAGGTACGCAGCTGCTATCGAGATGTTCGAGGGGACCGGTGTGCAGGTCACGTGTGATGGTTGCCGCCACCTTGGTGCACCTTTGGGCACGGATGAGTTTATAGAACAATTTGTCCAGTCCAAGGTCGCCACCTGGTGTGAGGAAGTTGCGCAGCTCACGACCATCGCAGCATCGCAGCCACAGGCCGCCTACTCCGCCTTCACACAGGGCCTGCAAAACAAGTGGTCCTTCCTCTGCCGGACCTCCTCCATCCCGCCATCCTTGCTTGAACCGCTGGAACACGCAATCAGCGGTCGGCTCATCCCGGCCATCACGGGTCAGGCTCCACCTGGGACAACTGTTCGCTCCCTACTCTCTCTGCCTTGCCGGCTTGGGGGACTGGGTATGGCAGACCCTTGTTCAGTGGCTGAACAGTACACCTCATCCCGAAGGATCACGGCTAGCCTCGTGTCTCGCCTGCTGGAGCAGGAGTCGTCTCTTGGCGACTCTCTGACTCAGCTCCGGACGGTCAAGGCGACGGTTCGGGCCGAGAAGCGGAGTGCGTTCAAGTCTATGGCTGACGCTCTTCGCTCGGATCACCGGGAGCTGGCCCCTGTTCTCGACCTGGCCTCAGAAAAGGGTGCATCCAGCTGGCTGACCTGCCGCCCCCTCAGCCGCCATAGTTTCACACTCAGCAAGGGAGATTTCCGGGATGGCCTGTGCCTCCGGTACGGCTGGACACCTCCTCGGCTCCCAAGCCTCTGCGTGTGCAGTAAGCCGCTGAATGTGAGTCACGCCCTGTCGTGCCCGTTTGGTGGCTTCCCGACGCTGCGACACAACGAGGTGAGGGACATCACCGCCAGAGCTCTGAGGCAGGTCGCTCACAA